GTTGGAACAGTATTTTTGGCATCATGAAGGCCTGCAGCAGGAGGCAGAGTAAGAATAAGTCTATTCTATCTGCCTGGGACACAAAATGCTCTATTGGATCTTGGTCTTTAAGTCTGCTGAGTATGTTAACCCAACAGTCTATGACAGGCACTGTAGGCCTCATCAGTCTTTAAAGAAGCATATGGAGCAGATATGTTTTGAAGAGAGTGAGCTAGCCCTGCCCCATCATGGTATTTAACATGGAAACACAACAGTCTGATGAGTGGGTGACTGTTGCATCCATGTAGCCTCTCCATATGAGCCAAAACTCTTATTCTGAGGAAAGAGGTTGCTCGTGTAGAGAAGCTATGCAGATGCAGCAGCCTCCCCCATCAGAGAGTCGCATTTCTTTCCTCAAGAGAACAGGTGAGGGGGAGCAGGGCTAGCTTATTCCCTTGAACACATTTTGGCTCAATACACTTAATAATAACCATCTAGAGCTGATCTAACGTACAAATTCCAACCATCTTTGACAAGGGTTAGGGAGGGAGCAGAAGACTACAATTTCCTTTTTACTTTTATCACAACAGCAATCAGCCTGTCAAAACTAGCAACATGAACATGTTTAGCAAAGTTAGAAACTTGTTGCAATAAACATGACAAAAAGCACTTCTGAAAAAGGGCTCATTTTACAAGTTAATTAAAGGCAAACTACTGTTCCATCCTGAAATGCACACAAATTCCCAATGCAGTATTGGATTTTTTATAGCTGTTCTAGAAAACAAGGAAGACTGAGAAAAGGCTGTCAATGAATATAGATTTAATTAGAATAAAAATATCAAAGAATCATGTTAAAGGTTACAACTTTGTATTTGTTCAATTTTAATGAACACAGGAAAGCCGTGAATCTCATCAACAGTGCTGGCTATACAGATAAAACACAAATAGATGTACATTAAATGACTTTGTGGGTGCCCAAACCAGAAAATTATAATTTGGTCTTTGCTACTGTAGCCTGGCACAAGGAGGACAAGCTGAATTTAAAGTACCCTTGTTTAACTATGCTTTGAAATAATCTTAATATGCAACTGATCATTTTATTTTTCTATAATAATCAAATAAAATACAAAAATTAATTCCATAATTTTCACTACAGCTGGTACACATTACAGCACCCAAGTGACTGTAAATATTCTCTGCAATAGATGTGTGCAAAACCATACAGGGGGTGATCCAATTACTTAACAAACTTCATATCATGCAAGAAAGGAATTAAATAAAGAAAAAAAGAACAAGAAATCAGACCCTTGGGTGAAATATCAAATTGTAGTATATCAATTTCAGATGTGTCAATTTAGTGAATTTCTAAGAACGTGAAGAAATACATAATGTGTCTCTATTGTTAATAGGCATATAGACACAAAACTTGCACGGGCATATACTTCAGCAATAGTGCAATAAGAGTTCCAAAGAACACCCTCAGAATGAACACTTCAGCTTCTAAAAAGTAACATCCTCTCTGAACATGCTTGTCCCACCAGAGTTGCATATTGCCGAACACTTTCTTCATCATTTGGCCCCTTCCGTCTTCTTTTATACACACCGTAATGCATAGCTGTTCTTTTATGGAGAATCCGAACTCGATCCAGTTCCTTCACGTTCCCTTCATCCTCTGAAAAGAAAAGCAGATACATTCACAGTCATATTTCCCCAAAACACATTATAGTATATTTGTCATATGTTATTGTTCTGTGATGTCAAGTTGTTTTCCATTTATGGTGAACTTAATCGGATTTTCAAGGCATGGGGGATGTTCAAGACTCGTTAACCATTGCCACATCCCCGTGAGCTTTCATTGCCAAGTGGGGATTTGAACCCGAGTCTCCTGCACCATAGTCCAGCACTCTATCCATTACACCAGACTGTCTCTCATTTACAGGGAGGATAACAAAAGAGTTGTGGCATGTTAAACACTAACAGATTTGTTTCAAGTTTGTTTGTGGATTACAATCCATTTCTTCAGGCCCATGAAGCACATCAGACCACAGGTTTATAGGCACAGAATACATGGTAGAGGGAAGGGGACCAAGTGAAAATGAAAAAGGTGAACATTACATTATTAACGGGCTTTTAATGATTAGTAGCAATCATACTGCTGATTAGACAGGCCTCTTGTTTTCAGCAATTAGATGGCTGTGCTAATGTAGAATTATAACAAAGAAAATAATATTTTTAAATATGTATACTCAGGACTATTCATAAACTTGGTATATTAACATATGTAGCATGTCATCATCTTGAATTTCTTGGTACCTATGTATGAATTTACATTCCTAAGGCCTACAGTAGATCTCAGGCAGCCATCCTTCTTTGAGACAGCAAAATAATGGGAATAGAAGCTACTGTCCCAGTTTCAAGAGGGACTGTTTGCATGGCATCCTTCCAGATAAGTATAGCCATTTCTTCCTGCAGAACCTGACATGCTGCTGTAGTTCTGAAGTAGCCTGTTGGAGGGAGAGATGTAAACTCTGTAGCATAGCCCTGTTGGACTATGGTCAAGACTTAATTGCTATTGGTAACAGTGCTCTAGGTCTGATATATGGTGCTAGGAGAGTAATGGGCTGCAGATCTCAGTCAAAGCTGCTGCTTGGATTTTTCCCCCCAAACTGTGTTGTGACATTAGTAGATCAGTATTTCAATATCTTCATAGGTTGTCTGAAGCACTGAGAGGAGATAGTAGGTGAAGCTCTCTATCAGTTGGAGGTCTACCTAGTTGAAGATTGCAGATAAGGGGTTCTCCAGGGAGAGCGATAGGATCTTTAGTGGGGGGGTGAGATGAGAAACCCATGCACTTCACTACATTTCATTTTTTGTAAATATGGTCTATTATATCATTGTTCTTCTCATTAAAGAGGCCCTTTCCATCAACAGGCATACATGATTGAGAATCCTCTAATATGACCCCTGAGTGCCACTGCAGGCAGCAATATTTTTTGCAGTGCAGTCCGTGGCATGGCAAATAGCGTGCATCTCTTGAGTTGCTAATACCATGACCTCTTGTTGAAAAGTGAAGGCCAATACCATTATCTTCAGATAGGCTATTAAAAGAGACTAGATTTTGTCCCAGATATCTATCTGATATACTCCCATGGCTGCTTGATAATTACCAATGCTGATTCCTAAGGGAGTAGATTAGCTCCTTCTCCCAACCACGTCCATTTTCTTTTCTCCCTGTTATTTGGGGTTATGTTGTGGTGGCCCTTGGATCTGGTTTGTGATGTCTCAGTGATGACTGAATTTGGCTGCAGGTGTTTGAGAAAAAAGGTGGTTTATCATGTATTTTATAGAGGTTTTCTACTTGCCTGGATGTTGGGAGCAGAGAAGATGGTTTGAGCCACCATTCTTTGTAATTGCTCTTCTCATTAAAGAGGCCCTTTCCATCAACAGGCATACATGATTGAGAATCCTCTAATATGACCCCTGAGTGCCACTGCAGGCAGCAATATTTTTAGCAGTGCAGTCCGTGGCATGGCAAATAGCGTGCATTTCTTGAGTTGCTAATACCATGACCTCTTGTTGAAAAGTGAAGGCCAATACCACTATCTTCAGATAGGCTATTAAAAGAGACTAGATTTTGTCCCAGATATCTATCTGATATACTCCCATGGCTGCTTGATAATTACCAATGCTGATTCCTAAGGGAGTAGATTAGCTCCTTCTCCCAACCACGTCCATTTTCTTTTCTCCCTGTTATTTGGGGTTATGTTGTGGTGGCCCTTGGATCTGGTTTGTGATGTCTCAGTGATGACTGAATTTGGCTGCAGGTGTTTGAGAAAAAAGGTGGTTTATCATGTATTTTATAGAGGTTTTCTACTTGCCTGGATGTTGGGAGCAGAGAAGATGGTTTGAGCCACCATTCTTTGGCCATTTCAAGGAGAGAGGGGAGGATAGGGATATGAACTGGAGAAGCAATATTTTTGATAATCTGGTTTTATTTATTTATTTATTTATTTTTTGGCTGCAGGTGTTTGAGAAAAAAGGTGGTTTATCATGTATTTTATAGAGGTTTTCTACTTGCCTGGATGTTGGGAGCAGAGAAGATGGTTTGAGCCACCATTCTTTGGCCATTTCAAGGAGAGAGGGGAGGATAGGGATATGAACTGGAGAAGCAATATTTTTGATAATCTGGTTTTATTTATTTATTTATTTATTTTGCGTTGTTCCAACACAAACCAAAGAAATGAACATGTGAGTACCAAAAGCCACCTAGAGTGGTCTTTTAGACCAGATGGGCGGGGTATAAATCAAATAAATAAATAA